GTCGAAAAAACACTTTATCGCGTTCCATTTTTCACAAAGCAAAAGAAATTGTTGTTTAGGAAAATAATTGTGTATGCTGACTGAATGTTATCGAGAAATGTCGAAATTAATCACAAACTACCTGTTTCGTTAGTAATGACTACTAGAACTGTTTGCATTGCCATCTAACATTTGCGGGCGGAAACTAAGTTAAGGTCCTAATATCCATGGTAAATGTCGCCCTAACTGATTTCTGATTGCCACAACCAGATCACGCGCAATTATACGATATGTAGTACTTTGATGTAGTTAATACATTAAAGTAGTTGAGTCATGCCAATTTTATACACATTACTATCACACAAAGATAACTAAGGTGGTGCAGCTACGTTGCTCACAACTAAATATTTCGGGTTGTGTTCATCATATCTCTTTTTTTTTGTGCACAATAAATTCGATTTTTCGATTCATCTTGAATGAGATCATATCCAGAAAGTTCATTCTACAGCTTTTCATGCACTCATTCGCAGTTTTGCGCTCATTGTATTTCAGCAATTGTCGTAGTTGTTTGCAAAATGGTAGAAAGCTTTATTGTGCACTTTAGTGAGTTTACATGCACACGAAGATTACTTACAAATGTTCAGTCAAAGAAGTCTGTGTAATAACCCAAATCTCCCAGCGAGTGTTATCAATACCTATAAGAATAATGGCTTGTAGAAAATTTAACGAGATATGGAAAACAATGTCGATGAATTGGGCGCGCAGCAATGAGTACAAGAGCGCAAACAAAAGGTACATGTCGTATTATTTGCCTAACATTATTGTGACACTCAGTGGGCTCTCGATGATAATGACCGCAACCGGTAATCTTTCTGGCGCAATGAGTTACGACGAATCTTCCAACGGGACGCGACCGTACGTCCTAAAGATATATCTTCCATTCGACAATATAAAACAATCTGTGTATCTATTTATAATTACTGTACAATTTTTCTACTTTTGGCTAATGACCGTCACTTCAGCCGCCATTAATTCGGTTCTTGTTATTTTGGTGAGTACTCGAAGTGATACTCGACGAAATAATTCATCGTCGGGCTCACCGCCGATTCCTCACCGCCCTACACGACAATTAACGGGACAGTGTCTTTTAGATTGCGTACTTAGGCGATCAAATTGATATCATTTGTACATGTTTGACGAAAATGTCGCCAGAGAATAACGACCGCCAAGCTAACGAGATTATGATGAAGGAAGTGATCAGAAAGCACCAGAGTGTGATTACCTTTTCGGAAAATATCGAGGCTCTTTATACGTACATCGCATTGATGTTAGTCGTGCTAAATACTTTAATTACCTGTGGCTTGGCCTTCGTGATCGTTAACGTGAGTAGTTGCGACGAGATTGCGATAATAGGAGAAAAACGGATACTGCATACGCACGCAAATCTTTCTCAAAATATCCACCTGTGAACAGAATGCAGATCATTAATCATGTTTATACATTCAATATGTTATTAACAGTACATATATTAAAAGATATATTTTTGTAGAATATATAACACAAAATGATATATTGATACATCTCAATTATTACACGACAAATTCGGCGCTATTTTAGGGATACTCTTTTGCGATTATTACAGGCAATCGGGACGCCTTTTTTCCTCAAGCTGTTAAGGAAGAACCTTTTGTTCTACTCCACGATTAACATTGAGACATTCGTATTTTGCTTCGCCGGAGAATATATTAGCGCCAAGGTTAGCTGTCCGCAATCATCGTACGGTAATAACAGCAGCATTAACATATATTTTCGATTAAGAGGCGATTTTGTTTCTCGTATATAGAGCAAAGCAATCGGCGAGGCTGCGTACTATTCGCCCTGGTATCAATCCAAGTTTCACGCTCGCGCCGTTTTGTTCATGATAATGAGATCGCAAAATCACTTGACAATCACTATGGGGAAAATCATGGATCTGTCATTCGAACTATTCTCTAATGTAAGACGTCTTGCTTACATTGTGGATTACGACATTCTCGATATGCAAGTGTGACGCACTAATTAATTAAGCGCATATTTCATGTTTTCGCAGATTTTAAAAACTTCAATGTCCTACTTGTCGGTACTACTAGCAATGTATTAAAGAGAAGATGCACTCCGTAGCTGTAATAGATAGTTTAAATAAATGTTTATAGATTACTAGTGCATATAGTTAGGAATTAAAGGAAATTGTCACACAATTCGCAGTTGAGTAATACTCGTATCACGCCAACTTCTAGCTCGCAGCTGGTCAGTGACGAAATGTTTTGTAGACGTCACTTTTCTTTTCACCAAATAAATTTGTCAAGTATATTCGTAAAATAATAAAGAAGCGCTACTTACGTTTATCTTTGAAGCATCGACGAGGAAAGGGAAGAAGCGGAGCGTCTTTGTTCGGGTCGCAGACGAGAGTGAACAGATCACGTACGTCATATTCATATCGCCGTAACGAACAAAGCTGCTTTCTAAAGGAAGCATCGCAGAAACGAGTAAATATGACGGGGATGATTATAGAACGTGGTGTATACGTACTCAGGCTGAGTTCTACGAAGCAAACATGATTCGATAAAGCCAGTAATGGCATAAGTTACGGTAAACGATTACACGATATGTTTCACTCACTGTGAATCCGTCAATGAATCGAACTTTTCTCCTCGTCCAACTGTCTGACTTATTTTCTCGGAATATTGTCTCTGGCGTACTATGAGAAACCTTTTCTCTTCGTATATCCCTGAAATTCACTATCCGGAAAAACTCGAGATATCTTCTCCGAAGATAAGATACGATTCGCCAATCAATATGCAAACGCGTGTCGCATGTAAACTTACGCGAATATTTAAATTTTTCAAGCGAAACTTGAAAAATTCTTGATGGTAATACCACAGTCAACCATTGGAAAACGGAAAATTGTTGTGACCTTTCTAATGTTTATCTTTTCTTTCTGCCTACAGATAATAATTTTATCTTTCTAATGATATGTCGAGAGCGACAGCACAGAAGTTCTTCAGCGCTTATGGTTGATTTTCATACACATACAACCCCTGTGATGGCACAACGCTCTGCATTATTAAGACAAGCAGGTGGGGAGAGCGCAGCAATTGCGCTTGGCGCAAAAAATCCTTCGATCGGATTTTCTTCTGTCTTGAAAATGACTTTCCGCGAAAAGTCGGAGGAACATCGTCCACGATTAGAAATAATTCAACATGTAGCCGACGTTGTGTATCATGTCTATAGATGCTTGACTCCTTGAATCTTTAAAGAAAATTACTTAATGCGCCGTGCCGCCCGTCAATTTCGAACACAGCGGATAGCTTTCCTGGACATTTATATTTTCTCTTTTTTCCTTTTTTCAAGAGCAGCATCGAGCAACATTGAAAAAACGCGGCGAATGCATCCACGCGAGCTGCAATAATGTGCCAATGCAAATGTTTAATGAGCGGTACCTGCTGGGGTCGATGTAAGAAGGGTTCGTCGGGTTCATCTCTCGTCGCAAGCCCTTAGTTCATGGGAAGACAGCTTGCAGAGCACATCGTCCAACAATCAGCACGTCTCGTCTCCGTACGATAACGTCTGACACGGTGTTATCGCGTTCTCAAGATTCCCACTCGCGAAATAAGGAACGATGCAAACATGAAAAAATCTATAAAGGTGCAGACGAAAAAAATGATCAGTTGGCCGCTCGAGATGCTGCTTCGTATATTCAGCATCTGGCCAGGCGTACCGTACGGCCCGTTTTGTAAAGTGTTCTGGCTCATTGTAATAACGCTCAATACGATTTTGCAATGGCTGTTTATTATTTATCGCGGACACACCGTCAATTCTAACGTTTTCATATATGCGTTCGTCAGTACTCTGACGATGCACATGAGGTTTATGAAAGTGGCTGTTCTCTGGTACAATCAGCGGTGAGATATATACAATATAATGTTTATTGTGCGTCTAAAATCATAACGAAATTGAGTGCACTTTCGCGTGTGATTATCACTATGCACGTATTATGCATAAGTGCTTATTAAAAATATCCGGTAGCGATATAGTCACACGGAACAAAAGAGTGTGGTTGGCCTACGTATAGATCTGGTTGTACCAACCGGATTTTACAATAAAATACAGATCAACTAATCTCATGGTTCCTGCGACCACAGAGTAATTTCTGAGTCACGGTAACGATATCTGGTTGCTTTTTAAACAGAGTGCATCCATGGTAAATGGAAACACCCAACCGATTCCTGATTGTCACAACCAGATCATGCGCAACTATACAATACGATGCAGTTGATATATCAAAGTAATTGAGTCATAGCAACCATACACATTACCATCACATAAAGATAATCAGGGTGATGCAGCTACGCTGCTCACAACTAAATATTTCGGGTTATATGCACTATCTCCTTTTTTTTCGTGCGCGGTAAATTCGATTTCTCGATCCATCTTGGATGAGACGAAATCCAGAGAGTTCATTCTACAGCTTCTCGTGCACTCATTCGCAGATTCGCTCTCATTGGTATTTCAACAATTGTCGTAGTTGTTTGCAAAATGGTAAAGGACTTTATTGTTCACTTTGGTAAGTTTACGTGCACATCAGGAGCACTTGCAAATGTTCTGTCGGAGAAACCTGTATAATAACCCGAATGTCCCAGTCTACCGCCTATAAAAATAATCGCTTGTAGAAGATTTAACGAGATGTGGGAAACGATGTCGATGAATTGGACGCGCAGCAGTGAGTACAAGAGCGCAGGCAAAAGGCACGTGTCGCATTATTTGCCTAATATCATTGTGACACTCAGTATGTTCTCGGTGATAATGACTTCAGCCGGTAATCTCTCTGGCGGAATTAGTTATGACGGATCTTCCAACGGGACGCGATCGTACGTCCTGCTGATACATGTTCCATTCGACAATCTAAAACAATCTGTGTATCTATTTATACTTTTTCAACAACTTTTCTACCTTTGGTTAATGGCCGCCACTTCCGCCACTATTAATTCGGTTCTTATTATTTTTGTGAGTACTCGAAGTGATAGTCGACCAAGTAATTCATCGTCGAGCTCACTGAGTCGATTTCTCACCGTCCTATACGACAATGAACAGGACAGTGTCTTTTAGATTATGTACTTAGGCGATCAGATTGATATCATTTGTACATGTTTGACGAAGATACCGCCAGGAGATAACGACCGTAAAGCTAACGTGGTTATGATGAAGGAAATGATCAGAAAGCACCAAAATGTGATTACTTTTGCGGAAAATGTCGAAGCCCTCTACACATACATCGCATTAATGTTAGTCGTGTTCAATACCTTAATTAGCTGCGGCGTGGGCTTCGTGCTGGTTAGGGTGAGTAGTTGGGACGAGTTTTGTGGCGAAAAGGGAAAAACGGATACCGTATACGCACGTAGATGTTTACCAAAGTATCTACCTGTGAACAATACGCAGATCATTAATCATATTTATATATTCAATATGTTATTAACTGCATATATTAAGAGATATATTTTTGTAGAATATATAACACCAAATAACAATAATTAACAATTAAAAGTGAAAAGTTAAAAAATGGCTCTAAGATATTAAATACAAAAAAGGGTAAAAGGAAAGCATTTAAGAGCCAGGCACAAGTGTAAAAGTGCAATCAATATATTATTTAACTTGCGTGCGTTTCTTTAAATTTCTTCCGTAACGGTTGATCCTTGCGCTTGAACTATTTCTTTCCCATTGTATTTTCTGAAGAAGACCCAAATCGGGTCGAAATGTAAACCGATATTGTATTGAGTCTTTGTTACATTGTAATATATTGATTGCACTTTTACACCTGTGCCTGGCTCTTAAATACTCTTTTCTTTTACCCTTTTTTGTATAAATAATTAACATCAAATAAAAAATAATTGAAACAGCTCAATTATTACACGATAAATTATAGGGATACCATTTTTACTATTACAGGCAATCGGAACGCCTCATTTCGCCAAGCTGCTAAGGAAGAACCTCTTGTTTTACTGCACGATTAACATTGAAACATTCGTATATTGCTTCGCCGGAGAATACATTAGCGCCAAGGTTAGCCGTCGCGCCCGCAATAATCATCGGTGTACGGTAATAACAGGGTTAACGTATATTTTTTATTAAGAGGCGTTTTTGTTTCTCGCATATAGAGCAAAGCAATCGGCGAGGCTGCGTACTATTCGCGCTGGTATCAATCCAAGTTTCATGGTCGCGCCGTTTTATTCATGATAATGAGGTCGCAAAATCAATTGACAATCACTGTGGGAAAAATCATAGATCTGTCATTGGAGCTATTCACCAGTGTAAGACGTGTTGTTTACATTTTGGGTCACGATATTACCAATATGCAAGTGTGACGCATTAATTAATAAAGCGTATATTTGATATTTTCGCAGATTTTAAAAACTTCAATGTCCTATATGTCGGTACTGCTGGCAATGTATTAAAGAGAAGATAGATCGTAGCTAGTAATAATAAATAGTTTAAATAAATATTTGTAGATTATTAATGTATAATTAGGAATTAAAAGGAATTGTCGTACAATTCACAGTTGTGCCTTAACTTGTGTCATACCAATTTTTAGCTGGTCAATAATAAAATGTTTTGTAGACGTCATTTTTCTTTTCGCCAAATAAATGTGTCAAATATATTCATAAAATAATTAATAAGCGCCACTCATGTTTATCTTTGAAGCACCGACGAGGAAGGGAGAGAAGCATTTTTGTTCAAATCATAAACGGGAATGACTAGATCGCGCGTATCATATGTCGCGCAGCCGCCGCGGCGAACAAAACTGCTTTCTAAAGGGAACACTGAAGAAACGAGTAAATATGACGGGGATGATTATAGAACGTAGTGTATATATATACAGGCTGTATTCTACGAAGCAAATACGGTTCGATAAAGCCAACAATGACCTAAGCTATGGTAAACAATTACACGATATATAACTGACTCACTATGAATTCGTCAATAACTCTTCTTCTCGCTCAACTGTCTGACTTGTTTTCTTGGAATATCGTCTCTGGCGTATTATAAGAAACTTTTTCTCTTCATATATTCTTGGTAGTCACTATCCGGAAAAACTCGTGATATCTTCTTCGAAGATAATATACGATTCGCCAATCAATATGCGAACGCGTGTCGCATGTAACTTACGCGAATATCTGAATTTTTTAAACAAAACTATTTTTGTCCGTAGTACCACAATCAACCATTGGTAAACGGAAAATTGTTGTGCCCTTTCTAATGATTTTTTTCCTTCTGTCTACAGATGGTAATTTTATTTTTCTAATAATATGTCGAGAGCGACAGCACAGTTCTTCAGTGCGTATGGTTGATTTTTATACGCACACAACCTCTGTAGTGGCACGATATCCTGCACTATTATAATAGGTAGGTAGGTTAATTGCGCTTCGCGCAAAAAAATCCGTCGATAGTCTTTTCTTTGGTCTTGAAAATGGCTTTCAGCGAAAAGTCGGAGGAACATTGCCTACTATCGCTAGAAACGATACGGCCGGCCGTACGCACCGTGTCTACAGATGCTTGACTTCTTGAATCTTTAAAGAAAATTACTTAATTCGTCGTGCCGTTCGTCAATTCCACATACAGCGGGTGGCTTTCCCTGGTGATATTCATATTTTTTTTCCCACTTTTTTCAAGAGCAGCATCGGACAATATCGAAAATGCGCGGCGAGTGCACTCACGCGAGCTGTATAATGTGCCAATGCAAATGTTTAATGAGCGGCATCTACTGGGGTCGGAGAAAGGAGGGTTCGTCAAGTTTATTTTCCGTCACGACCCTTCAGTTCACGGAAGACACCTTGGAGCGCACGTCGTCTGACAATCAGCACGTTCACGTACGATAACGTACGTGATATTATCGCGTGATCAAGATTCCTATTCGCGAAATAAGGAACGACGTGAACATGAAAAAATCTAGAAATGTGCAAACAAAAAGAATAATTAGCTGGCCACTCGAGATGCTGCTTCGATTGTTCGGCATCTGGCCAGGTGTATCGTACAGTCAGTTTTGCAAAGTGTTCTGGCTAATTATAATGATAACCAACACGTCTCTTCAATTATTATTTCTTATAATGCACGCGCGTACCATCAACTTTACAATGGTTATATACGTGTTCGCAGCGACTCTGGCGTTGGGCATGAAGCTAATTAAAATAGCCATTTTCTGGTTTAATCAGCGGTGAGACATACACGGTATAATGCAAGCTATGCGTGTAAAACCATAATAAGATCGGGAATACTTTCATACGCGTGTGATTAGCATTGTGCATCTACAAGATGTCCATGTATATAGATTAGATCTAACTGAACCCAAAGATCCTCTACTATTTTACAAATAACTATGTAAAATTTGGTTATTTATTAAAGAAGATTGGTGCAAGATTACGTGAGATAATGCATCAATGCTCTTTAATTAATAACTTAGAAATTTACGTTGTTATTAGTAAAGGATATGTCTGTTCAATTTGTGCTAATTTACAAACACGCGACGGCAGTCGTCGCCATCGAACTCCCTGCGGTATCGCACGTATTCTCTAATATTCTATGATTAATAAAATTTTGGTTTTTTGCAAAATGATGAGAGATCTTCGTATTCAGTTTGACACTCAGCATCAGACATTTTGTACATAAAATTTATCGAAAAATCGCAGTGTAATAACGATAAAGTTGACTTTTCGATGCAGCAACTGAGGAAAGAGATTTAATTTAATTATCGCACTGTTATTGTCGCGATTACACATGACGAACATCTATTCCTAGATGTTCATTGCATCGAAATTGATACTCAGTATGACTACACTGTAACTCTTCGAAAGCAATTTCAGCCATATATATAAAACCAAATTTCCTTATGGATATTATTAACTCCCATGAGAATAATTGCTTGTAGAAGATTCAACGAGATGTGGAAAACGATGTCGACGAATTGGGAGCGCGGCAGTGACTACACGGACGCAGTTGGCGCGACTGGCAAAAAACAAATAATGCATTATATGCCCAACTTCATTGTGGCATTCAATTTGTTCTCAGTGATGATGACCTCGTTCAGTAGTCTCTCGGCCGGAATTCATTACGACGAAGCTTCCAACGCGACGCGTCCCTACGTTCTGTGGATGTATCTTCCATTCGACGTAAACAAACACTCCGTGTACTTACTCGTGATATTTCTACAATTTTTCTACCTGTTTATCCTTTCCGCCGGTGCCGCCACCATCAATTCGGTTCTTATTATTTTGGTGAGTGTAGCCTTACGATACAAAACAATGAAACACGTCAAGCTCATCGTCAATTCATCTTCACTCCGTGTAAGAATAAACGGGTTCATGCCTTTTAGATGCTGTACCTAGGAGATCAGATCGATATCATTTGTAAATGTTTGACGGAGATGCCGCAGGAGGAGAATGAGTCCAGCACGAATGTGACTATGCTGAAGAAAATAATCCGGAAGCACCAGAATGTCATTGCGTTTTCGGAAAACGTCGAGTCCGTCTACACGTACATCGCGTTGATGTTACTCTTATTTAATACCTTAATTACCTGCGGCTTGGGTTTCATTCTCGTCACAGTGAGTACCTACGACCAGTTTAACCCAGCACAGAGAAAATAACGATAACGCTGCGGACAAGTCCTTATTGCAAGGTCGCCCTGCGAACAACATGCATTTTCATGATCGTTTTTGTGCGCTTAATATTTTATAAAACGTAATGGAGAAAATATTAATATTATATGATACAAAATAATGCCAGTTAATTGCTACTCGATCGCTCGACCATTATCTATTGGAGTACATTTTTTATCATTACAGTCTATCGGATCGCCCAATTTCTCCAAAATGATGAAAAAGAACCTCATGTTCTATTGCGTGATGAACATTGAGTCGTTCGTATTTTGCTTCGCCGGAGAATATATTAGAGCCAAGGTTAGCTCTTGCGTCCTTTTGTAACGTGGATCTTCAATTACAAAGTGTTTTCTTCTGCGTATATAGAGCAGAGAGATCGGCGACGCTGCGTACAGTTCGCCCTGGTATCAGTCCAAATTTCACGGTCGCGCCGTTTTATTTATGATAATGAGATCGCAGAATCAGTTGACGATCACAATGGGAAAGTTCGTAGATCTCTCCTTGGAATTGTTCTCCACTGTAAGATGCATGTGTAATTGCGCGCTCTAGTCTTCACGACGTCCGAGTGACACACCGATTAAAGATGCCCATGTGACATTCTTGCAGATTGTAAAAACTTCAGCGTCCTACGTGTCCGTACTGTTGGCAATGTATTGAAGAGAAAACACACAATCATAAAGAATACTTTGAACAACAACTTCTCTCTTAGTAGTTAGATAGGAATTAAAGAAATTTGGCACATAATTCATAGTTGAGAAACGCCTTTCTTCTTCCTAATTTCCAATGCGCTCAAGTGCTCAGTGACTAGATGTTTATTTTCGTTTTTTCATCAATCTGATTTATCACGTATATTGGTTTCCGCGCAATTAATTAAGACATATTTCTTACCTTTGTCTTTTATGTATCTACAACGAGGAGGTGGAGCAGCATCTCTGCTCCCATCGCAATCGAAAGTAGCAAGATCGCGTATACATATATCAACGAGAAACAAGATTGCATTGCAGAGGCACTATCGGTGACACGTAAATATGATTGCGGCGATTGCGCGAAGACGCAATATACACAAAGCTGCGTTCTCTGAAGCAGAGGTAATTTCTTTGTCGTAATATCGTCTTTGGCGTACTATAAAAAACTTTTTCCCTTCACTCATTCTTGAGATTAGCTTACTCGGAAAAACTCGAGATATTTTCTTCAGCGGTCATGTGCGATTCGCCAATCGATATTCGAATGCGTATCGCATATAAACGATATCCAGCATTATTAAGACAGGTAGGTAGTGAGGGCATAGCAATTGCGCTTCGCGCAAAAAATCCGTCGATAGTCTTTTCTTTTGTCTTGAAAATGACTTTCAGCGAAAAGTCGGAGGAATACCGTTCACGATTGCTGGAAACAATTTGACATATGGCCGATGTCGCGTATCGCGTACAAATGCTTGACTCCTTGAATCTTTAAAGAAAATTACGCAATGTGCTGTGCTGCCGATCAATTCCACATATTGCGGATAACTTTCCCTGACATTTACATTTTCTCTTTTTTCTTTTTCTCAAGAGCAGTATCGGGCAATCGAGATTGAAAAAACGCGGCGAGTGCATCCACGCAAGCCGCATAATGTGCCAATGCAAATGTTTAATGAGCGGTACCTGCTCGGGTCGGAGAAAGGAGGATTCGTCAGGTTGATCTTCCGTCGCGACCTCTCAGTTCACGAATGGACATCTTGCAGCGCACATCGTCCGGCAATCAATACGTCCACGTATAATAGCATCCGATACGGTGTCGTGGAGTTATCTATATCCTTATCTGCGAAACAGGGGATAACACAAACATGAAAAGATCTACAAGTGTGCACACGAGGAGAATGATCAGTTGGCCGCTCGAGATGCTGCTTCGACTGTTCGGTATTTGGCCCGGTGTTTCATATGGTCCGCTTTGCAAAGTGTTCTGGCTGATCGTAATGATAACCAACACGTCTTTTCAATACTTATTTCTTATACTTGACGCGCGTTCCACCAAGTTCATATACGCATTCCCTGGGACTCTGTCGATGAGCATGAAGCTCGTTAAGCTAATCATTTTCTGGTCCAATCAACGGTGAGATATATACGTTATAATGTAAGTTATGTGCGTAAAACCGGGAATACTCTCATGTATTACTATGCATCCATATAAGTTTTCGTCGAAGAAAAGAGCATGCGGTGAATGACGATGAAGTCGACTTTCCAATATAGGCACCGAGAGATAAGAGATTTTTATTTAATCATTGCACATTTAATGTCGTGTGATTACGCGTGAACATCCATTTCTAAGTATTTACTGCGTCGAAATCGACACTCACCGTGATTACAACGCAATGCTCCCAGTATATTTGTAGCTATATGTATAAATCCAAATTTCTCTGCGAGTGTTATTAACGCCCATACGAATGTAATCACTTGTAGAAGATTTGACGAGATGTGGGCAACGGTGTCGATGAATTGGCAGCGCGGCAATGGCTACACGGACGCAGCTGGCACGACTGGCAAAAAGCAGGCGGTGCATTATTTGGCCAACTTCGTTGTGGCGTTCAGTTCGGCGTCGGTAGTGTTGAACTCATTCGAGAATCTTTCGGCCGGAATTCATTACGACGAGGCTTCCAACGGGACACGTCCGTACGTTATGTCGATGCATCTTCCATTCGACGTTAATAGGCAAAGCGTGTATCTGTCCGTGATATTTCTACAATTTTTCTATCTGCTCGTCACTACTGCCGTTGGCGCCACCACTAATTCGGTTCTTATCATTTTGGTGAGTGCTCGTGCTTATTACGCTACAAAAACAATGAAACTCATCGAGCTCATTGTCAATTTATCTTCACTCTGTATGAGAATAATCGGAAAGAATTAAAAAAGAATTAAATGGTTCTTATTGATAAAACAAAAAATAACGGAAAAATAGATGTATTTAGAATCACGACATAGGCGTAATAATGTAATGTAAGAATAGACTAGAGAATAAACAGTGTTTCGTATCCTTTAGATGCTGTATTTAGGTGACCAGATCGATAATGTTTGTACATGTTTGACGAAGATGCCGCAGGGGGAGAACAACTGCAGGACGAACGTGATTATACGGAAGGAAATAATCCAAAAACACCAGAGTGTCATTACGTTTTCGGAAAGCGTCGAGTCCATGTACACATACATCGCGTTAATGTTGATCATACTTAATACTTTGATTACCTGCACCCTAGGTTTTATTCTCGTCACAGTGAGTAGTTACGAGTTTAACGGCAAAGAAAACAATGACTACTGCACCCTAATGACTAATGCGTTTAACGCACTTAATCTTATTAATAGTAACGAGAAATATTAGTACCGTGTAAAACGAAATAATGCAAGCTAATTATTACTCGATCGTCCGGCTGCTTTTACTGAAATACGTTTTCGACCGTTACAGTCTGTTGGATCGCCCCATTTCACCAAAATGTTGACGAAGAACCTCTTGTTCTATTGCGTGATTAACACTGAGACATTCGTATTCTGCTTCGCCGGAGAATACATAAGCGCCAAGGTTAGCCCTTGCTTTCACAATCGTTGATTGTGTACGATAATAAACGTGACGTGACGTAACACAGATTTCCAATTATGAGGCATTTTCTTCTGCATAGAGCCGACAGATCGGCGAGGCTGCATACAGTTCGCCCTGGTATCAGTCCAAGTTCCACGGTCACGCCGCTTTATTCATGATAATAAGATCGCAGAATCAGTTGACATTTACAATGGGGAAATTCGCGAATCTCTCATTGGAGCTGTTTTCCACTGTAAGATGCATCAGTAATTTCGCGTTGCAGTTCTCGCGACGTCCGAGTGACAAACTGATCATAGATGCCCATGTAACATTCTTGCAGATTATAAAAACTTCGGCGTCCTACGTGTCCGTACTGTTGGCGATATACTGAAGAGAATACACACGCTCCGTGTTCGTAATAAATAGTGACAAGTTAACTATTAGTACGTAGATAGGAATTAAAGAAATTTCGCACATGATTCACAGTTGGGAAACGTCTTTCTTCTTTCTGATTTCCAATGCGCGGATGGTCAATGACTAAATCACTTAGAAGTCAGACCAATACGGCCAAGCCTGAAATACGCAAAGTTCACACCACACAGAGCACCATAGTCTCATTTTCTCTCTGATATCTCGTGTGTTACCCCGCGAATTCTACAACATGCATATTTGACTTTCATGCACACGCAACCGTCGTCGTTGCACGATATTTTATATTATTGAAGAAAGAAGCGGCGGGCGTGCAGTACCGCGATATACCTGTAGAAACGCCACCGATTGACTCAAGTGTCCGTCATGTTTTTTCATCAGTCTGACTAATCGCGTGTTTCAGTTCTCATGGATATTAATTAAGATACATTTCTCACGCTCAACGTGAAAAACAATATTGCATCGCAGAGTCACTAGGGTGATAAATAAATATGACAGAGGCGACTACAAAATGTGACGTACGCAAGGCTGCGTCCTCTGAAGTAGAAGTAATTGATTGAAGCTAACAATGCCCTAAATGTGAGAGATTATACGATATCTTTCGTGAATCCATGCGCATGTTAAACTTTTTCTTAGCCAGTTCTTTGAGTTCTTTCTCAGACTATCTATGTTTTTGACAGACTACAGCAGATTTTTTCTTTTCGCTCTTCCTCAAGATTTACTTATTCAGAAAAACTCGAATTACTTTCTTCAGGGCGCTCGCACAATCGATATGCGTGTGCGTGTCGCGTGTACGCTTAGAAAAGCTTGAATATTTCAAGCAAAGCGTTATGGACAGTCATGCCGCAATATTTGGGGGATGAATCATTGTCGGGTTCTCTATAAGCTGTCTTTCATTTACAAGTATTAGCAAATCGTACAAAACATAGCCATGGTCTCTGTTATAAAATAATAATTTCTCATCGCTGCGGTGTAATTATCGGCAGTATCAATATTCCGAATACTTGCCTAGCATCCGGATATCCTCGTATCTTTCGAGTATTCTCCGATTATTTTGTAAGTAACCTAGATACTGGTAAGTAGGATAGATAATACTCGAGAGAAACGCTCGGCAAAATCGGCTGATGCGAAATTAATTGCTGCAAAACAGGTGATAGATGATTCTTATTTGAATACCTGAGAAATCTTGCGATTTTTGGCTCCAAATACTGAGTTATTGCAAGCAACACAATCTGCACAATTGAGCATCTAGAAAATACCTAAAAGCATAAATACAAAAGTTTATACTAATTAATGTTAATTCATTAACTTCTTAATGAGTACAAAAAAGAGACTTCGGTACAGAAAATATGCACGTAAATTGAAGTCAATGAAAATTATCTCGATATAATTTGTTACTCTTACCTGCGTCATTGTGGTTACACGTAACGGGCGAGTCTCCGGAGTAAGAATGAGCTCGAGAAGAAAGTCTTAGAGAAGGCAAGCCAATAACCTAAAATATGCCAAGTTTACAATACAGAGAACATCACACTTGCGTATAGGTGTATGCACGTTGCAGTTTTATTTTCCCTCTGATATTTCATACTTTACCCCACGACTTCTGCAACGTGCATATTTGATTCTCAAGCAACCCCCATCGTTGCACGATATCCTACATTATTAAAGAAAGAAACGGCGGATGCGTAGTGATCGCGATACACGTGTAAAAACTCCACTGACTGATTGCAGTCTTTCCTTTCTTCTTGAAAATGACTTTCCACAAAAAGCCGGGGGAACCGCACAGTGTCCGCGATCACTGCAAACAATTTGATATCCGACGATTTGATGTCGCGTGCCGTGTCTACGCATGCTTGACTCCTTGAATCTTTTATGATAATTACTCACTGCGCCGTACCGCCAGTCAATTCAACAGCACTTTTCCTGACAGTGCTCTCCATCTTACCTTTGGCTCCTCTTTCTTGAAAAATAGTATCAAGAGAAACATCGAGAGAACGCGGGAACATAATGTACACACGAGTCGTATAATGTACGAGTGCAAATATTTAATGAGCAGTGGCTACTGGGATCGCAGGGTTCGTCAGGTACATCTTCAGTCGTGACCCCTCAGTTCACAGTAGGACACTTTGTAGCGCACATCGTCCGGTAACTAACGTGTCCACACACGATAGCGTCCAATACGATACTGTCGTGAATGAGATATCGTTTCGCGGAATAACGGCCGTTGAGGAACACATGGAGAAATCGAAAAACGAGCAATCGAGAAGAATAATCAGTCGGCCGCTTCACATGTTGCTTTGCCTGTTCGGGATTTGGCCAGGCATATCGCACAGCCTGCTTTGCAAAATGTTCTGGCTGATTGTAATGATAACCTACACGAGTCTTCAATTCATGTTTCTTATCATTAACGCGCGATCCCTCGACTTTACCTTTTTTATATATGCGTTCGCCCTGACATTGGCGCTGACCATGAAATTCATCAAAATGCTCCTCTTCTGGTACAATCAGCGGTGAGGCATACACGATATAAAGCGTATCGCGTAAAATCGTGACGAGATCGAAAGTACACGCGTGTGATTATTACTGTAAATCGGGTTTATTGGAAATCCAGAAGCAGTGCGATCACGGCGAATTTTATTTTCCAATATCGTGGCGATGCGAAAAGAGATTTTGAGTTAACTGTCGCCAACATTTATTGCCACGTATTTGCAATACTGAGTTCAAAAGTCATCGTAATTACATCGCGTTTTTTTAACTAATGAGTTAAGATAAATAGCATAATGGTTTCATGAAATGTATCTCACCAATTATCTCATTATTATTGGACATAAATGTCATCCAACAATTAAAAACAATTAAAAATGAAAAATAAATGAGTAAGATAAATGTCCCAATGCCCGGACATGTACCTAATTCCGGACACTCTTATTATTTTAAATATTTCTCTAAATATTTCATCTTTCAATGTACATTAAATATAAATATTAAATGTATGTATACCAATATATATGTATTGTACGATGAAAGTTGAAATATTCATATTTAAATATAAAAATAATAACAATGTCCGGAGATTGGTACATGTCTGGGCATTAATACATTTACCTTAATGAGGAATATAAACAAAACTTTTAAATTATCTTATTTTCTGCATGCTATATACATTACATTGAAAAAATCAGATACGATTTAAGAGATCGGCATGATTTCGACAATTTCCCTCTAAGTATCGCCACAATAAAAAACGAAACAAGCCGATTCGTGTAACACACACCAGTAAGAATAATCGCGTTTGTAGAAAATTCAATGAGATGTGGGACACGATGTCGATGAATTGGGAGCTTAGTGCTGCCTATACAAGCGCAGTTAACACGACCACCAAAAGGCACGTATCGCATTTTATGCCCAATTTTGTCGTGGCATTTAATTCGATATCAGTGATAATGACCTCCGCCGGCACTCTATCGACCGCATTACATTACGACGAAGCTTCCAATGCGACGCGTCCGTACATCCTGTTGATGCATCTTCCATTCGACGTTAATAGACATTCCGTGTATTTACTCGTGATATTCTTGCAATTTTCCTACTTGTTCATCCTTTCTGCCGGGGCCGCCACTCTCAATTCGGTTCTTATCATTTTGGTGAGTCTCCACCAAAATTTTGGTGAGCGTCATAATTAGTAAGCAAAGTAATTAAGCTCATCTAGCTCATTGTCAATTCATCTTCACTCTGTGTGAGAATGAACGAGTTCATGCCTTTTAGATGCTGTACTTGGGAGATCAGATCGATATCATTTGTAGATGCTTGACGCAGATGCCACAGATTCCGCTGGGAGCAAATGTGCAGCAGAAAGACACGATTGTGGTGAGGGAAATAATCCGCAAACATCAGAGTGTCATCATCTTTTCGCAAAATATCGAAGCCCTCTACACGTACATCGCTTTGATATTAGTCGTGCTTAATACCTTAATTACCTGCGGCTTGGGTTTCGTACTTGTCACAGTGAGTAGCTGCGACAAACATCGCAGCAAAGAAAATAACAGTTACTACAGATAAAACCTCGTGTAAAGATCTATCTGGAAAAAATATAAAGATTCATTAATGGCATTTATACTTAACATGCAATTAATAGTAATGAGAAATATTTTATATAACACGAAATAATATTTTATTAATGCAAGCTGATTGTACTTGATTGTACCATTGCTATAATCGAGGTGCATTTTCTATTACCGTTGCAGTCAGTTGGATCACCCAACTTCTCCAAAATGGTGAAGAAGAATCTCATGTTCTATTGCGTGATCAACATTGAGACATTTGTATTTTGCTACGCTGGAGAATTCCTTAGTGCCAAGGTTAGCTTCCGCAATTTGATGTGTACACTATAACCAACGTAATAGCTTCAACATCTCCCAGGCCTAGTTCTAAATAAATTTCTCGATTGTGTAATGTGTAATGTGTGCACGTAACATAATCATGCATGATGACTATTGATTATCCCGCGGGAGCAACTTCCCCGAAATAATCAACGGTTATGATACATGAATGAGTAGATATATTGTAATCGAGAAATTTGTTTGGAACTGGGCCCAGAAAATGTCAAGGCAATTATGTTGGATTATGTATGCCGATATAAACATCATATCATGATACAAAGTTTCAATTATGAGATATTTTCTTCTACGTGTCTAGTGGAAAGAAATTGGCGAGGCAGCGTACAATTCGCCCTGGTATCAATCCAAATTCCATGGTCGTGCCATTTTATTCATGATGATGAGATCGCAGACTCAGTTGACCATCACAATGGGAAAGTTCATGGATCTCTCGTTGGAGCGATTCTCCAGTGTAAGATGCATGTATAACTTCGCTTTGCGGTTCTCGCGATATTCGAGTGACAACTAATTAAAGATATCTATGTGACACATTTTTGCAGATTGTAAAAGCTTCGGCGTCCTACGTGTCGGTATTGTTGGCGATGTATTAAAGACACACTCATAATCTGTATTAATAATAAACGCTATAAATAATTGTTACAAGTTATTAGTATCTAGATAAGGATTAAAGAAAGTTGGTGCACGATCCACAGTTGAGAAATCCCTTGCTCTACTCAATATCCGACACGTAGTTAGTCAATGACGGAATTATGCATTATGTTTTTTCGCCAAACTAACCCATCACATATATTAGTTTTTTCATGGAATTAACTAAAAGGCGTTTCTCACGCTCATCTTTCATGAAACTACGGTGAGGAGATACGTTTCTCTTCGAATCACAATCGGAAGCGGCAAGATCGCGCGTGCTATTGTCAAGGGGGAGAATAATGTTGCATTGTATGGCGACTATCGCGGTGACATGACGGCAATGGCTACAAAAAACAATGTACGCAAAGCTGTATCCTCTGAAGCAGACGTAAGTTATTAAAGCTAGCAATGACCTCTGAAAAGCGGCAGTTTAAAAAAAGTTTACACGTTATCTTTCTCTCCGTAAATCCGTCTGCGAGTTGACTTTCCTTCGATTTCTTTCTATCTGTTCTCTCTCTCTCTCTTTCTCTCTCTCTCTCTCTCTCTCTCTCTCTCTCTCTCT